TGGAGAAAATTAAAAATGGAACAGTGTCTAATAGAAAATGTTCATATGGTTTTTAGGTTTCCTGTAGTTACATGTTTGGATGTTCTTGTTTCTTGTATCAATCGAAGTCTGAATCAGAATCATTAAAAAATGCGACATCCCTTTTGTACTTCTACTGGACGAAAGAGGTTTTAATTTTCTTTTAACGAGTTTCTGGTTGACGACGAACGTACCGATTTCCTATATACAAACAATTGAGGATCACCCATGCATTGGGTTGTTTTACCCCTGAGATTATGTTGCGCCATATATCGCGGGCCTGCACCAGTCTCATATCCTCATTTAAAGGTATAATTTTAGTACTGAGTCGGACCAAACGTGCCGAAATTCAGCGACGTAATTTCGACTCTTTCCATTTCTTCAAATTAAAAGTCGCTTTTCCGCCATCAAGATCTACTCTATGACAAATATAGTGATTTCTGATTGTTAGTAAGCGGAAGCAGTTATGTAAGCACCCTGAATAAAAAATGCGGTGACTTCAATTATCATGGGTACAAATACGAGTAGTACTGCGTTGGCTCTACAACACAACTCAATAAGTTGATCGATCTGTATATAAGCTCCACCTGTCAAATAAACCATACCAAATTCGCTACTGTGAGAGTTTCAGCTGGATACACTCACTTCTGTAAATGAAATCGAGTTACAGAAGGCGTATAGTGTTATGTAAGCTTATTTATGGAATACGTTTTCAGTGTGCTTCTTGGCAATATTGTACAGAATATTAAAAATTAAATATATCACGAAACTGTTCTATCATTGTGTTTTATTTCTACTTACTACCTTACTACAGACAGACTGGCGGCTTCACAAAGGTGAAGAAGAGGAAGCCACCAGCAGTAACCTGTGTGCCACGCACCGATAGGGTCGAACTTTCTGCTGCGTCCGAACCATACCGACGACGCTACTGTGCCTATCGCGACGGCAGTACTTCACGAAGTCTGAGGAGATAGTAGAGTATATCAGAATGAAAGTCAAAACTCCCTGATTGTCGAGAACGTTTGTAGTCCCGCCACGTCAATTTTAATTCGTTTATTATGTGAGTGCCGACACCCTCCGTCCATTAGAATCCCCTGTTAACCGGTTACCTGACACCAGATTGCGCCACACGTCGCTGACAAATGCAACTCGTGGGGTTTAGTTATTTAGTTTTATACTACATTTAAGATAGTCTATATATTTATAAATTGTATGGGTCCTATTTGCACCAGTCAAATGAATAAAAAATATACTGAATGCTATAACAGTCCAGTGTTACTGCTTTATACCATTTTGTTTTTTAATGTTGGGAAATATCTTTCAGTAACATTAGAATCACTAACCATCACCAACTTAACAGTGTTAAGCTCAATTTATATTGCCGCGGAAACGAATTGTGCCTATTTTTTAACGAAACTGTACTATATAAACTTTATATCGATTGTGCAAGGTACAGACTAAGTAGAGCCAAAAACAGATCGCGTGTTTTTCGCGGGAATTCCGCAACTGCTATCGGCGCCTAGCGAACCCGCGAGAAATGACGCAAAGGCAGACGCAGTCAAGCGTCTACCAAATAGGTTTTTTTATGATACGTCTGGTGGTAAGCGACACGCCTGTTCAGTGCCACTCAGAGCTTTAAATCGCAAAGATCTGATGGGCACTTCCACTGCGCCCGTCACCCTAAGATGTAAGTTGATAAGTCCTATGTGCCGTTTTTAAAAATTTTACCAGCACCCTCACCATTTAAAACCGGAACGCAGTAATGCTCACATTACCGCTTGAAGGCAGAAATAGGTAAGGGTTCAAGTCATAAAAACCTATCGTATATTATACCTTTTATATTCCTTCGCATTTTTAATGCAAAATGTTTCACATTTTCCGAAAAATTCATTCTTCGTTCTTCCATACCTAAATCATGATATTTTTCTTCCATTTCTTCTCTTCTTTTGCTTCACAAATAAGCGAAATAAAAAAAATCTCCAAATACATCATTCTTGTTATGTAAAAGCATGAATTCTCGCGGACATTCGAGCATTAAGCGTCTGTTGTACTACGTATAAATAGAACGATATGCCACACGATCCATTGAAACAGCGCGCATCGACGGAACAGCTTGTGTGGCACTTATTCTGTTGAAATCAACGCAGCCGCAGTTGCGACGACATAACGCCCGTGTGGCATCTCCTATGTGGTTCTCTATCTGTGTAGATAGAACTGGTGTGTAACCGGCAGTCCGTGGAGCATGCCGCGTGCGTTATTCCAGCGAGACCATAATCGAGTACCTATTTCAAATTTGACTCGTGAGATTAAAATCGTATTTCAGTCTGGAGCCGCCGCCGTTTAAAGTTATAGGGATTTTTATTATCCACCCTGGAATAAACTTATTTCGACGTCACCATTTTTCAAATTACCTACCACCAAAGCTACTAGCTTGGATCTGTGTTTGTGCCTACACAGAAAAATCGTGAATTAGTCGGTTCTATAGTCCATCTGTTTAGGTACCTACTTAAATAAATGTAAACAATCTTGAGATGTCTATTTAATGAAATATACATTTTTATAATGATTTTGCCTTACCTTCAAATACAAAATACAAATGCTTAGCTTCATATGAAATTGCATGCCTATTTTTATACCTATTGATTTGTAAAGCATGTGTTTCAATAAAAAGATGTATCAAGATTGTTTACATTTAGTTAAGTACCTAAACAAATGGACTATAGTAGCAAAATTTTAATATTACGTCATACGTAGTCCTCCAATTTGAAAGATACTTCAACAGATTTATTAAAAATTAAATACTTATCTACGACCCCAATAAATTTCGCATATCACAATTGAAAGTTTTAACTATTTGTAGTTCTCAATACAAGCAAATTAGCAAAAAATATGCTATGACTTCTGTATTGAGTGTATTAGGTACTGATATTTTACATTGCAAAGACATGATATTTTATTAGTATCCCAATTTGGGAAATAAACTTTTCTTAATTGATTCTGGTCTGGATGTTCCGGGAAGTGCCCCAGAGAGAATTCCGCTGCTCTGGTACATATTTACAGAAAAGGGAATTTCCCAGTTTGAGACCAGGAAATTGGTGTGGTCGTCTGACACACGTAACGGATGCAACCTAAACTCTAAAAACCAATTATAAGTGATTCTTTTTTTTTTACCGAAAGTAATATATTATAATAATACTTCTATCAAAAATGAATAGAAATAACATTTTATTTTTTCAATACTTGAATGCACTCTTTCCTCTTAAAAAATAATGAACGCACTCATTAACAATTGTCAACCATTCATAGGGACGTGCAAGCAATAAATCGATTTCTAGTTTTCATTAACTTTACGTTAAGTCGATTTGAATTTGTTTTCCCTTTTCGAACAATGCTATTCAAAAACATAACGTCATTAAAACAATAAATTCAGTGATATGGTTTTGTGAAGTTAAAACTAACTGGACATTTTGTAAAAAGAATATATTTGGTATTACTTTCTTATTAAAGTGTTCATTCACACTTTTAACTTAATTATCGAAGTGACTACTTATTATAGTGCTGTTAGTTATTTCTTGCCTGAAAATAATGACATCATTTGTATTCTTTCATTTCAGGTTATTATAAAATGGGTCAAAGTTCAAGTTCAAGTGTTGTATGGAGAGAAAGAGGTCGGCGTTTGTCATACCACGGATCTTTTCGCAGAAGTAAAGTGAAAAGACCGACTATAAGTGGTCCTTTTTCTTTTCCTAAATTAACGGAAAATAATGAATTAATGAACATAAATATGGCAACTGAGGAACAGTTGATGACTTTGCCAGGAATAAATAGACAGCTGGCTCGAGAAATTGTAAGACACCGTATTATTGTTGGTCCATTTAAACAGATTGGTGATCTTTTATTAATTTCAGGTAAGAATTATGATCCCCTTAATGGAACTTCTCTTTCTTCCACTTATGTTTTATAATGTTATATTTCTACTGTTGTGGATTGCAACGCCAATTGAATACTTACCTACTTATTGTTTTAACGACATACGTAATTTTTTTTATATATTTATGGTTTTCATTTGTTTGTGTAATTAATTCCAATTATTTGTTTAAGGTATTGGTTCAAAAGAATTAGGGTTATTGAGAGCAGAAATATGTACTGGAATAGATATTAAACCAATAACAAGAGCGAGATCCTGGTTGTCAATTAATCAAATTGATTGATTTTTCATTCTGAAAACATAGACTCTGTAGAATCGTATTTTTTTGTATTGTTTTTAACTGTTGATATAATAATATGTACTGTGTTTTATTTTATGGAATTATAATATTATCAGGAAATTAAATGTTTTTCCTTCCTTATTCCATCATTAATACTGTGTAGGTATGTACGTATATTCTATTAATAAACTATGTAAATAGATAAGGCAGGTTAAATATTTAAAGCATGTTTACAGCATCTCTAAAATTAAGTTTCTTTTGTCAAAAAAATATTTATCGATACATCCAAGGCTAAATGTTAGAAAGCAGGTGTTATTGTAATTCTCAAGATTTTGTATGCTTATTCATCATACATAATATAACATTATGTACCATAGCTTACAAAGAGACTTCAACTTATAAGTCACATACTCATACCCATACATATAATTAGGCACTGTGTCATTGCATTGGTGAATACCCTTACTTGCATATCAAAAGGTTAATCGATTGCCTGACCCACCTCGAACATTTGTAATTGATAAATCGACAACGTCGCGTCTCTAAAGACATTTTGAATGCGATTTTTAAGGAGCAAAGTCGTGTCGTGTTTGTTTCCTTATTTTTAATTAAAAAAATCGTATTTATTTATACAATTACGTAAAGATTAATCTGAATTTACAGTCTAATTTAAGTGTACTTTATATTATCAACGAAAGTGTCTGTGAATCTGCGCTGTGCTAGTGATTATCGTAGACTACATATTTATCTTCTTTTTTGTTCACCTGTGCCTAGAAAGAAATAAAATTTAATTGTGCTAATGATCGATATTTGATTTTAAAAGTGGCGGGTGTCATTATGGGGCAGAATTCGAGTTCTGTGAGGAGTAAGAGTCGTCAGCGCTCCTTTCGGGGTTTTGTTCGGCGAAATAAGCTAAATAAATCTAGTTTGAGTCACACGTTCAGTTTGCCGCCATCGGAAGAGTATCCCGAGCTGATGAATGTAAATACGGCCACGGAGGAGCAGCTGATGACCCTGCCTGGCGTGAACAGGCAACTGGCGCGGGAGATTGTACGTCATCGACAGATGATCGGCCGATTCAAACGAGTTGATGACCTTGCACTAGTCTCAGGTAATTGCTATGAACCTAATAATCTGCTCAGTCATGCATTCATTTATGTCTGAAATATGAAATGCATTCTGTAATAGATTTTTGAGTAGTATGTGTTCTATCTATGTGGAACTCTTTATAAGCTTAAGTACAACAAAGGCATTTCATACTATAAAGTGAAACACATTTATCACAAGTTGATTTAAGACTAATTTGAACAGGGACTATTACACACTATAATGTTAACAACCTCTCACAACTATTGGTTGGACTGTACAAAAGGGGGCACTATGGAAACTGGACTTTTTAAAGATTTTTTCTTTAAAATTGTTTTTTGTGTTGTTTCGGATAGATTAGATCTAAATAAATATTTTTTGTTCTTATTAAAATCTCTTTATGGGCGATGGTTTCTGAAAAAATTAAGTTGAAACGATCATTTACCAAGGCTACGGGACAGAAAAATTTTATTGATTTTTTAAACCAGTACAACTTTCTCAAACTCGTGTCTTTTGATTACTCAGGAGATGTCAAAACATTCTATTTATTTTAAATTTCTTATCAAGGGTGTTAATTTGGACGTATTACTTCAAGATTAGGTAAAAGTTAGTGTGTAAATATGAAGGAAATGTGTTATGAGCTTGCAACATTTGTACATACAATCCCTTTCTTGCATTTCAGTAACTTTGTGCTTTAAGATACGAGTTGGAGAAAGTAAGGTGACGAATTATATTGTTTTTAGCGTTTGTTTCGGTTAGATTAGATATAAATAAATATGTTTTGTTTTTATTTATTTTTCTCTCCGGGAAATACTTTTCGAGAAAGTCCAATTTCCATAGTGCCCCCGTACCTGCCGTCTGACCGGACTATTTATTAATAACATCATAAACAACAACTTTTTACCAAACAACAAACTTACTGATATAAAATTTTAAGTTTTTGTTGTAGTATCTGACACTGTTAGATCTGTCATTGGTAGTAAGTTCAAAGATGCAAGCGTTCTCCCCAACAACACACACTCCCGTTCTAGCATTTTGCATTGGACTGATGTTTTCGCTTACTTTTGTTACCGTACAGAATTGGCACCATTTGGAGCAATCTATTTAAATATTTTTCTCTTTGTATGAAAATAAAATCTGATTAATTATTAAAAGTCATGGAAAAAGCGTTTTTTTCTTTATGATGTTAGTATTTCATATTTTTAATTTTATATTTATTTGTTGTAGTTAGTATTTTACGAACAACTCTGTAGATGTCATAGGTATGGAAGCTAATATAGAATGAGAAATGTTGCATTTTAAAATCAAATCAAAACAAAAGCCTTTTTTATTCCTTAATTAATTAACATGGTTAGGAAATGAAACTATTTTTCCGGATTTAAATCGCGTATATTTGTTTTTCAAACAAACCGACGTTTTGGGCTCTGTACAGGTCCTATGGTCACGGTTGAGAGTCAACCTATGTGTAACAATCGCGAAAACCTAAGAACTCGATAATAAACATGGTTTTCAATACATTCAGTTTTAAATATCATTGAAGTTATAATACAATGTCGATTTAGATTTATTACATAATATTACTTCCATTTTAAAATTTAATTTTTATTTAATCACATATTTATATTATTTATTATTGTTTTAGATTAAGGACCCCTTGTTGAGTATAGGCATGTTAAAAGCCATTACTTAATTTAAAAATGGATTTATTTCCTTATTCATTAGATTATAGAAGAGCAGTTTTTGCTGATATTTCTACATCACTTAGTATTGAAATGAATAGTCCTTGTTTTAAGTTTAGTTTGCTTTTTTAGCACTGATTCACTCTTTTGTGGCTCTGATTCACGCTTTTGTCAAGCCTTTTTTTAAATTATATGAAGATTCGATCTCAAATAGACGTTATTCAAGTAATATTTTAAATAACTTCTTTTGTTATTGCATTATTAATAAAACGCCTGCAATTGAATTTGACTAGGACCAATTTGTAAGAATGTTGATTCAGATTTTTGTACATATTTATTGTTTATTTATTAATTTACAAACCTTAAATAATATCTATATTATAAATAAAGGTTTTCAACACATTTTTCTACTTTTTACAGTAGCTGCTGTCATAAAAAGGAACGGTTAATAGCTTCTCTTAATTTTATATGTAGATGTATTAAACATTTTTATGTTTAATATATGATATGTTTTCAACTTGATGTTATAGATATCATATTTCACTGGTATTGTAATTAAACAATAATTTTTTAGGTATAGGAGCAGAGAAACTAGAATTATTACGGCCAGAAATCTGCACGAGTACAAAGAAACAGATATCCAGAGCGAGTTCATGCACACAATCCTTAGATAGTGAACGATTATCATCAGAAAATAAATTATGTTCCATAAATTCCTCCAGTGTGTTCCAACTTCAATGTGTGCCAGGTCTTAACCAGGAGATAGCGGCCAATATAGTGGATTATCGCAATAAAAAAGGCCCATTTAAGTCACTGGACGATTTAATAAAAGTAAGAGGAATGGATATAATAAGATTAGGCACCGTTAAGCAGCATTTAACATTAGAGCTAAGAAAATGTAAGAGTGTACAGAATTTAAACAATGGGCATGTAAACAGTTTTGCTGAATTATCATTAAATAGTTCATTACAAAATGGGGTGACGAGTACACCTAATCGGACACCTCATAGAAAAAGTTTATCTATGCATACACAAGTTCCTATAAAATTACCAAACGGATTTGCAACAGCACCAGTAAATGATATCTTGGACTTGCTAGCGGCGTACTCGCATCGACCAATAGTTGAAGAAATGTTTACATATGAACGAGATGGAGTACGTTGTTGTCGACTGGCATCCTGGAATCTCCATCAACTTAGCGTAGATAAAATTTCAAATCCTGGTGTTAGAGAAGTTGTATGTCGGACTATTTTGGAAAATAAGTGAGTATACTTTTTGTTATCAATTATTATTAGACTATTACTTCTGTTATACACTTGTTTGCTGAATATGTTGTTCTGAGGTATATTAAGGACCTTTTCCCACTGCAACTAGCAATTGCTTTGGTTGCCGTTAGTTACAACTCCGACGACTAATGGAATTAAAGAACTGGAGTATTGCGACTTCTTGTAGGGCCACATTTGCCTAAGAGTGTTTATGGGCCTTTCGTAATAATAATAATAATGTGCCAGACAACCAAACCAATTGCCTGGTCTCAAACTAGGGAATTCTCTGTACTATGAGTAACAGAATTCACTCTGGGGCACTTCCCAGAACGCTCATCCCTGAACTAGTTTATAAAATTCTTTTCCCAAATTAATCCTACCAGGAATCGAACCTGGGACATCCAAACCCAGTGCGCACAGCGCAAATCGATGACCCACCGCAGTAGCTAAAATTTGGAAGGGCAACTTTGAATTGGAGGTGCAGAATTGTCTATGCTGCGAGAACCCTGTCAAATATTTACCGACAAGTACTTCTTGATCCGAAACCCACACTACATATCACATTGCTTCAATTTTTCTTTTTTTTCTTTTTTCGAAGTTTCATTATTATACTTTTTTATTTTTGATGTTTTAATTTCTACAATAATTTAGTTATATGAAAATGAGAAAGTGATTAACTTTAATTGGAGCTAATTAGTTTTGACTAAACATAATTCATTGGAAATCGTTGTCTATTTCTATCTATCTATCATTGTATGCACCTATATACTTGAGTGTTAAGCGACTATGATGATGTTAACTCATTGTTCCATTGTCTTATGCCTACATACTCTCTCGAACATTTAGCCAATGTCAATAAAGGTAAAATTGTCATACCGATTAAACATTCTAATGACGTGACGTCTACGTAAGCAAAATTAATGCTTAGATAACGTTGTAACAAATGCGTATACTGTGCAATATGTGATACATTTCATTGTTTGAGCATCTTATCGAATATAGGCATTGTATAAATATAAATGAATAAATAAGGGTGTGGAATATATCATATAAATATTATTCACATAGTAATGTTCAATTTCCATAATTTTACTTTCAATAAACTCATTTAATACAGTTATTCACTTCATATAACCAACGTTTAATATAAACTTACATTCTATAATTTCATTTTTTATAACGACCACTTACACTAACACTCATTTTTAATAACGACCATAAGTTATAAAATAAACAATGTTCGGAAAAAGGTGTTCCACATACATGCATAGATACATGTATAGATATAGCTACAAGGAGCGACGAATTATAAATTACAAATTAATTACTTTTTCGAATTCCGGATTACCGCAAATGGTTTTACTGCTAAACTACAGACACCACAAACAAATTTGTTTCTAACACATAAATTTCGTATGAGGCGCACCCGTATAAATAAATGGCAAGTTTAAGTTAGTCTAATAATGATTATTTTTGTTGGAACATAGACCAAAAAAAACAGCAATAAAAAGACTTCAATATGCTGTAACTCTATTTCATATATATACAATATTTATATGCAATAACAAAACCAATAACCAGTTGATTAAAATAATTTTAACATTAAGAAATGAAACTATTTTTTTCTGATTTAAATCGCGTATGTTTGTTTTTTCAAACAAACCGACGTGTGATATGACGTGACCATGGGACCTTTACAGGTGTGCTAAGGATGCGTTATTCACATATAATCCACGTTAGCACTCTGTGCTAACCTTAAACGCCACTGAAATCAGAATAATGAAGAATAAGCCAACCTCAAAAGTTTGTGGAATTACATCTATTTGCCAAGTATTATTGAAATCGGTTACCGAAAGTGCGCGAAAACGGATTCATCCTCTAGTTTGCTACCCTTGGAGGTGGAATATTTTCTCCAAATATAAATGGGACCAATATTGAGGTACCCTCTTTTTAACAAAAAAGTATCGTCATAATTGATTCACAAATATACAGTAATATCCAGAATATGTAACAAATAATCTCAGTACGGAGTACTAAAAAAACCGACCTAAAAAATACGTGGAATTACATCTATTTGCCAAGTTTTTTTGCCCGGATTCGTCCCCTAGTTTGCCACTATACGGAACTTGATACAGGAGATAATAAAAATCGGTTCTCACTACTCAAAGTATATTGAGATGGAAAAACGCCTTGAATTAGAGAATAGCAAAATCAACCATTAAAATAATTGCTCCTTGTAATAAAATTTAGGCGCTATTTATAAAAATGAATCTTTATGCGTGAACAGCCACTCTTACAGGTGGATGATTTTCTTTAAAATTAAATCGGACCGCTATGGAGTATACTAGGTACTTAGTAGTAGTAGTGTACTACGCGTACATACATACAAAAAAAATACATGCAGTCGAATTGAGAACCTCCTCCTGTTTTGAAGTTGGTTGAAAAATGTAAAATGGCTTGTCTGTTCATTTCAATTATGATTGAAATAGTTTTATTTTGTTATCGTTCCGCATAACAACCATTGAATAATTTGGTTGGCTCTTTTTTCAAAATTCTTGTTACGGAATATCACCAGAAAAATTTTGTTCAAATTGTCGGTCGGTAGCCGCCTTTTATTATCTGCAGATATACGAGACGATAGCTCTGGGAATTCCCAAGACTGCGCGAGTATTCTCCATAAGCCTTGAACACTGCCGTAAAGTTGGCTGCCTATCGGTATTTTACAGGATATATCGCGGAGAGATCTGCCATTCTAGCTATCTTTGGCGATGTCATTAAGGCTGCGTTCATTATATTGGGAATTCTTGATTTATCCCCTACGCGCGTTATAAGAAACCCATGAAGATGAATACGCGGAATGTCCTCCGGAAGCAAATTGTCTATTTCTCAAAAAATCCTTTACCTAAAATATTGCTGTTGAAATTAAAACCATTCTAATTTCAATAAGGGAAAATGGTTTCTCTGTACCACCAGTTTGGGACGTAAGATTACAGTCTTAGTACTGGCTAATAATTATGTTTTAATATATTATTTTAACAACACTCCCTTAGCGTCGCTAATGTCTTTGGTCCATTTTCCATTAGAAAATAATCTGTAAATTTTTGCAAAGCATTGTAAAAAAAATTTTTAACTCTAAATTATTATTTTAGGTTATCCCTTATAGCGATACAAGACATCCTAGATGAAGCTGCACTCAAGATTCTGTGCGACGAACTGAATGCACCGGTCTTAAGGCGAGTCCGTGAATGGAAAAGTAATAGCCAAAGATGGGAATACTGCATATCAGAGAAGATAGAAGGGTAAGTAGATATTTTGATGCTACATAAGTAAGTATCATTTAAAAAGGAAGGATCATTAATACAAAGTTCGAACACGAAGAAAAATTCCTTCGATCTGACAGGATTTGGATCAACTAGGGTCACGACGCCGGGGCTACCAATACAAAAGATCTGTAACAAACACATTAAAGAAATCCATAAGGTCAGCGGACACGACCTGTAGCTTAGTTGATAGAGCGGTGCCCCTAGTATGAGATACAATCAGATCGAAGGACCTTTTCCTTGTGTTCGATCTTTGTATTAATAATTATGACAAAGTAGTGAAACATTATGATATTCAATAAAATCAACATTAAAGGAAGGATCTGCCACTCTAGCTAGCTACCTTTGGCGATATCATTAAAATGGCGTTCATTAGATTGGGAGGAGAAACTGCTGCTTATGTTCTTTCTTCTTTCGTACCCGCGTTATACGAAACCCATGAAGATGAATACGCGAAATGCCCCCTGGAAGCAAATTGTCTATTTCTCAAAAAATCTTTTACATAAAATATGTCGCAGATAAATTAAAACTTACTGACCTTGACTACTGACAGTGACCCAGTGAGCTTGACCTCCGACACCAGTGGATCTACTCTCGTTGTCGTTCGACATTCCTTCCGAAACAATTACTGCCAAATAAGTAATAACCACTCGCATCACGCGCGTTTTCACCTGGTTGAGCATAACTTATTTGATCGATCGTTTGGTCTGAAAATCTTTGGGGGAGGCCTTCCGCAGCAGCAGTGGACGTCTTCCGGCTGACATGATGATGATGAGTATTACTTATTTGACAGTAATTGTTTCGGACGGATGTTCGACAGAGGACAGGAGTAGACCCCCAAGATTCGGCCACGATTCCTGAAGATAAATAAAGAACTAAAGTAAAACCGCATTTTTGCGCACTGTGATGTAGATGTTAAAGCTACCATTTTCAAGGCGTTTTGTCAGACCTTTTACACGTGCAGTCTGTTGACAAGCTACACTAATAATATAATCTTAGTACAGAGTACTAAAGAAATCCACCTCAAAAGTACGTGGAATTACGTCTATTTCCCAAGTTTTATTGAAATGTCCCCTAGTTCGCCACTCGTATAGTGGACTTGACACAGTAGATAATAAAAATCAGTTCTCACTACTCAAAGTACATTGAGAGAGAAAAACGCCTTGAATTGGAGAATAGCAAAATCAACTATTAAAATAATTGCTCCTTAAGTAAAATTTAGGCGCTATTTATAAAAATGAAGCTTCATACGTAAACAGCCACTCTTAGAGGTGGATGATTTTCCTCAAAATTAAATGGAACCACTATGGAGGTACCCTCTTTCCAACAAAAAAAAGAATCATGAAAATCGGTGCACAAATATCGGAGTTACCGCGTAACATACATACAAAAAAAAATACATATAGTCGAATTGAGAACCTCTTCCTTTTTTGAAGGCGGTTAAAAAGGCGTCCAATGCTCTGCGTATTCCATATAACAATGGATTTAGGATGTTGTCGGGACTGCCACGCTTTTGTAGCGCATCAGGCATGTTCGCGGAGGCGCATATTAACAGCTTTAGTGCGATAATACGCAAGAGAACAACCTCCCTGATGCGTCGCGTGCGTGACAGTTCCAACAGCCTCGTACGGTTGATTTAGGAGTACCCTGCTTGCGACACGTGGAAGCACTGGAATCAAGTTCATGTGGGCTCCAGAAGCTCGATTTATAATGTAATGTAAATGTTTCAATTTAATTTATAGTTTGATGTGATTGATAATTTGATTTAATTTCATTGATTTTCGTGGATGTGATACAATTGTATGTTATAATAATTTTCATTACTAACTAAGTGTATTTGTAACTAACATCTATGGACATGGTCTGAAACAAACCATTTGAATTTAAAAACCCATCTAAAGACAGTGTGACATCATGCGAAGTAGCCATTTTAGAAGAAGTTGATTTTCTGCGTCTACTCATACAACGCTCCATTCAACTTCCGAACGACATTCACAATAAAAAAAATCATAACAGTAACTCATTTCCATTGACAAAAGGACATGTTCCGTTTTTAGCAAGTTTGCTTATCGGAGCGGTCATTCAAATTTCGAAGACTAACTTGATTCTGTTTACATTCTGTATCCGTCAATTCATGAGCCAATCAAAACATTCCCAGAAATCGTGTAACTTTGATAAACAATTCGATGTCTTGACGAACCAATTGTCTTTTGTTCTGTTCGGAATTTCAATGGTTACTTTGAAATCCGAGTATCGAGAGTGCTTTAAGATTTAATTACGTTACTATTTTTGGTCGTTATAGTATAGGGAATTATCTAGTATTAAATAAGAAGATAGGTAGATATTTGTGTTAGTAGTTCAAGTTAGTTTTCACCTTGAAATGTGGGCGCTATTATGTTACTAAGTCTAAATGTTATCATTTACTCCAAACGGCATCACTCGCTCCCAAAGTTCTCGTTCGTTCGTTCCAAAAGCTATAATATACTCCAAAAACTATCATTCGTTCCAAACGGTATCATTAACTCCAAGCGTTATCATTTGCTCCAAACGTTATCATTTGTTCTTAACCCTACCAAGATAAATTATCATATAATGTGAACATTGTAGCAGCTAATCTCATCAAGCCTTGAAAAATTATAGTAACAGATATAAAAAGGGACTGAGTAAACGACCTGAATAACGCCGATAGTGCGATTTGATAAGTAGATTTCATCGCTTTCAATATTTTTGTTAATCGCGGATAGAAGGAAATAACAAATGGAAAGCATTGACCTTTTGGTTATTCATACCGAATGTTGACTATTGTTGAATTTCTATAATCATTTCATTTTTTAAACCCCGACGCAAGCTAGGAGAGGCAAGGCGTGTTATAAATTTGCAGCCTTTGTCTGTATGTCTGTAGCATCGTAGCTCCCACGCGGATAGATGATCTCAAAACAGTTTTTTTTAAGTTAATTGGGATGGTTTTTTAGCTATGTTTGACGAGCATCTGTTTGGCTGTTTAAAAATTACTAGCACTTAGGATTTCACTCATAAATAGTACATTGTGTATTAAGAACGATAAATAAGAAATAACTAACGAGGGTCTATATTCTAATATTTAATTTGGTTTGAATGCTGAAGGCTTACATAACTCGAGTTTTGTATTTTTTTACCATCCGTGATACATACAATGTTTTTCATCACATTTGCGAGGATATAAATACAATGTTTATTTCTTGTATGAATAAATATGGTTCACAACACAACAATTATGGATTTTGCAAATAGCGGGTTTTTTGGTTTTTTTTTATCAATAGATGGCCAGCAGCCATTCTTCCATAGATAATACAACTCGAACTAAAATTTGTAAAAAGCAAAAACGCATTTAAGAAATTCTTAATAATAAGTATTTAAGTATGTTTTAATTTTTGAACTTAATAACCTCCTTACTTGAACTTGAACCTGGTCTATGTAAGGAAGTATGTCGTGCTACAAATTAAAACTCCTTATCAACCATGGCTGTAATAGGAAGAAAAAGGCCCAAGGGTTTTATTTGGAGCATTATAGTCGAGTTTGTCACCATGCAATCATACTATTTACGACGAAGGGTGATGAAAAATTATTATTCTACTGTCCTTTCGACTTCAAATTTGATATACCATGAAAATTTCATGATATTACAATAATATGGTAACTTTGATCTGATGCCGTAGCTATGACCGTCCGTAGAATTCATTAAATTACTCTGAACGAGTTACTGGCCTACAGATAGTGACTTTATTATCTTTTTGTAGTACGCTGTGTTGTAAAGGGGTTAATTTTTATTTTATATATAAACATAAAATAAATACATTTTTGTTTTTTACGCAGTGATCGGAATTAAGGGAATTTACCTACCTAACGTAAGAACGTTTTCTTAGTATGGACATACCCATTTCGTCATCAATGCGTATAAAATTTATGTACAAAATATAATTGCGCACTATGACTTCCATGTCATCTGATGGAAAGTGACGTTGAGGTCGATGATGTAACATGCACACCTAAATGTTACCTATTCACTCTCGCCTTGAAAAGGTCCAATTTATAGCGTTCGGGGAATAAGTCCGCAGGCAGGGAATTCCACTCCCTAGCCGCTCGCCATGTAAATATGGAAGCGAAACGCTTCGGGCGAATCCTGGGAATATCCACAACATAAGGGAGGAACCCCAGCCAACGTCTAGTCCTCGATGATGGAAAGGGGAAGGCAGAATCGAATAATGCATTTCCATCGCACACTCTCCGTGAATTATATCCTGTAGAATGCCACTAAGCAGGCAACTTTACGATGGTGTTCAATGTTCTGCGGCTTCGCCTCTACTAAATCCGAGTCCTATAAGCCTCTTTTTATTTTCTACTACTGTTTGTTTTCTAAACAGTCCAACATATAGGTTTGTCTCATGTTTATTTTTAGTATTTTTAAACTATTACAAAATTGATTTTTGATACAATGATTTCTAGAAAATACTTAATAGGAAATAATAATTTATCTCCAATGTCCAAATTTTTTTTAATAAATACTGCGCATATTCAAATATAATCAGTTCGAAGAAGTGCCGGGATTTTCAAAAGGGAATGTCCACATTATTCTTTGGTTTAGCTAAATTAACTCTCTCAATTCCGATAATTGTTTATAAGAAGAAAATGTGAAAAGAAACGTGTTCATTTTTCCCAGAATGACTCTATTTGAATAAATTTTCATGCGTATTGTCAGTAGAAAGAAAGGTTACTGGCAACAGTATGTGTGCTTTTCAATGTAATTTATTTTCCGACCTTTACACGTCTTATCCATTAACTAAAAATAATCTTTAATTATCTTGGTAGAGTAGGTACAATCTAATCTGCAATCAAAAGTTGAAGTGTTTACTTATATCCTGTACATTGATGGCTTATGACAAGATAACGTAGTCTAGTGTAGGCAGAAGCCTTCCAAAAATATCCAAGCGATTAATTATTTT